TGTCTATTTGTTTGTTTGCTTGTTTTTGTTACTTGGATTTCCTTGTTTCTTCAGGGGTCATTTTCTTCTTTTTAAAAAATTTTTCTTCATGATGTTCTTGAGTAAATTTTTATGCTTGTGATCCTTTGTTGTCCATATGTACTTAAAAATATTGCCCAGATAATGTGAGTTTTGCCTGTCTGTGCATAGATCTGTTTCTTGAAAAATTTGCCCTTTGGTTGGAATTTTAGTTTGCACAATTGGTTAGGACATAGAAGGTTTAGCTTTCCTAAAATGTTACGATGGAGAGGACTTTGCATGAGTCCTGGAATCACATAAAAGCCATTGCTTTTTTTCTGCCTCTTTGTTCAGCATCATTACAAACACATAGACAAACACACTCACTCACATAGACTCATAAAGTGTGTGCTTGCTCTTGGCAGCAGTCTTTCTGACTAGGGAGAGGCAGTTATCAAACTGTTGTCTTTTTCCGTATACATGTTTAGTGGTTCTCTGTCTTCATCACGTGGTGTTTCTGGGCCTAAACAATCACATTCTTCCTGAGTTGTAGTGTTCTCCTGCCTTGAATTGTCTCTGCCTGTGTTATGTCATTCCTCTTCCATGCATTTTACATTTCCAGAAATCTTATCTGCGGTGAGCTGCCACATTCTGCACCCTTGGTTATAATGCGTTCATGTATTTTATTGCCCTTTAGTCTGTCACTTCAGTGGAGCCTTGAAAGCCACCAAGACAAATTTTTGTGCCTTGTTCTGCACTTGTTCACTATTTTTTGAACCAGAATTCTTTGCTTTGTAACCTTGGAACTTATTTGTTGCATATTTTAGATGTTAAATTAAATTGTTTCTCAATCCTGACAAATTTAGCACGACTTTGTCTGTAATTGCATATCAAGCCTCGGCTATAGCTTAGTGGCAGAAGCGCCTGCCTAGCAAGCACAAGGTCCTGAGTTCAATTCCTGGTACAAAAAAATGTTGATTTACTTGCATGTCAAGTAATATGCATTTAGCAGTAGCAGCATAGATGAATATATATATATATATATATATATATATATATATATATTTCAGTTTGGGTTTGATTTGATCAAAGCTTGCTTTCATTTGCCTAGCATTAAATTCATTAATATCAACCCTAGCACTTATTTGGGAACATTTTAGTGGAGGTATTACACTGATACAGGACAAGAGGACCTGAATCTTTGTTTTATATATGAATAGAACAGTTTTGATAACTCTGATGTATTAACAAATTTTCTGCAATAATAAGCATATTTTAAATATAGTAAACTACTTTATTATTGCATTGTCAAACAGAACAGTCCACACATATTTGATGGATCCATATGAGTTGAAATGTTCAAGATTCTTTTGAGATATTCAATTCTTGTGCCTTTAAAAACATCAACAGTACATCAAAGGAATTAAAGCCTTCATATTATATGCCCCTATAGAGGACAAGCACAGCTCCTGAAAGAGCATGCAGTTCAACGCTTTATGAAGTGAAGCACACTGGTAGGGAGACAACCAGACTGGAAAATGTTCTGTTTCTTAAATAAGTGTGTATTTCACTAAAGTCAAGTCCTTTTCAAGATTTTTCAAGGATGAGGAAATAAACATTAAGTTTTCTCTACTTCTCAGAGGTCTCCTGGATTTTGCAAAAGATTCATCTTGAAACATTAACCTAAACTTTAGGCACATTTACTTTCTCATCTCAAAATATTTATAAGGTAGAGTTTATTCATATATTTCTACTATAGGAGAGAGAGAGAGAGATCTTTATTTTAAATTTCTCCCTGTAGATACTGCTGAGATACTATTATTTTTTACCAAGCATTTTTGACAGAAGGCATCAGTAGAAATAATTATACAATCTTTTGATACCAGAAGTGCCTTTTAGGTTAAGATTGTGAGTAAAGCAATCAACGTGGTTCTACCAGCAGATGTTAAATACCTTAGGGACTGTTTTGATTAACTTCAGAGATATTGCAAAGAAGAAAATAGAAAAAAGAAACAAAGTAAATTATGGCCCTGCATTCTGCATCTTTGCTGAACAGTACTGCTGAGATAATGATACTGTTTTAGTACTTATGACTGGGATAGTATTCTGGGAGATAAATAATGATAATTACCCTTATAAAATTTCTCATATTTTAGAAAAATATACTGAGGCTTGGAAAAATTAATTTACTTGAGAAGAAACAGTTACAGAAATGGCCAAGAGCTGTATTATCTGACTTGGGAGCCATAATATGTACAGCATAAAGTAAATGTTGAAATAACATGAATTCATATACCTAGTCACCATTTGTACAAAACCTAGAAAAGAATTCAACTATGAGTTTTCAATGTTTACAGACTTCTTTTGAAGGTTTTCTAATAATGGGAACACTGCTTTTCTTGTAATTTCCTTGGTAAAAAATTAATTCTGGTCTACTTGGCTTAGGAAATAGATAATATCTTTCAATCTCTGATTATTGATGCAATTCCTAGCTTTTAAAATGTATTTGTAGTGGCCAGTTTACTGTTACTGTCACTAGGCCTACACTGCTTGTAAAATATTGACCAGCAAAAAAAAAAAAAAAAATCAGGTGTAAATTGTCCTAGGCACACACTTTTTCCAAAGTTCAGCTGCACTGTATCACATTATTTCTCCACAACAAAACTCTGCTCCAGTGTTCCTTGGGATAAGGAAGCAGTGCAGGGTTTAGAACTTACAGGAGTTATGAGAATTACTGTAACATTGTTATGGCTTGTGTCTCCCCCAGGCCTCATGCAACTACATGTGGGGCTTTTCAGAGGTGGCTGGATCTAGGGTGTGGGGTGCTGGGATTAAGTGTGTGACGCTGGGATGAAGGGTGCGTGATTACTAAATCAGTCCACTGATTGGTTTGGCACAGTTTTGGGTGTGGGTAATGGGAAGGTGACCATGGGTATGGGTGGCACCACCCAAAAGGTGCATAGTCTGGAAGGGATAAAAGGGAGAGGAGGGCTGTTGCTGCTACTTTACTACTTTGCTGCTCTGCTGCCTTCTGCTTGCCATGAACTAGTTCATCTCTGTGATGCCCCCCTGCTGTGCCACCCTGCCTTTGAGCCAGCCAACTGCAAACTGAAACACTTAAAAACTGTGAGCTACAATAAAGCTTTCCTCCTTTAACTTTGGGTATCCGGTGTTTGTCTCAGCAACCAGAAATAGTAACTAAGATGAACATTTGTCTACATACTACCAAAGAAAAATATTCAGTGACACCTGTTAAAGCATAATAAAGAAGTTTTTACTTGGAGAGGACATGGTGGTAGGCATAGGGATTATCACAATTGGGTCTGGAAATGTTGGAGAATGGTTTGGCTTAACTCTGAAAACAACATGAGCAAGAAATAATTTATGTTCAATGATTCAAGTGGAAATCAGTGGATGAAAAATTACTGTAAAGAAAACTTCAGGAGTAAGAGAGATTCCTGCTCAATGGATCTAACAGAATTGTTGCTAAAGGCAAGGTGGGGTGATTATGTGTTACCCAGAGCATGGTGGAGGATGAGGAATTTGATCCAATATCAAGGATGGAGGGGGCCAGTGAATCTGACTTAACAAAGTTTCTGCTGAAAATGGACAGTGTAGACTTGAGGAGGGAAATTCAAAAGTCAGGCCTGTTTGAAATAGAGCTCAAGGAAGCTGGAGTAGAGCTTGGTCAGTCTTTTATCAACACCCCTTATTGTGTAACAAACCCCTTCTATAGTAACCGCTTTTAGATTTGGTGATTTGGGTCAGGGAGATGTAAGGACTCCAGGTAGAAAGAATCAGTCAACATCTATTTTCTTTGCAGATATGTATCAGTCATACTCAGTTTCCCAAACCATAAGACAAGGTTTTCTCCAGCTTATTCCCTTTTACTTAAACCCCTAATTAGTGAGGTAGTCAAAATAATACCCAAAACAACACGGGTAAGAACACATGACCCAGTGATCTTATGTGACTTCAAGATAAGGACCCTGGTCAGGAGACGGGACCAAAGAAGAGAGGGTAGAGCGAGCTGTTTGTTAAAATTTTCTGGATATATTTTATTACTTATACTCATTTCCCTGAGTCTCAAGAAAAATACCATCCATTTTTACTGTATTTTTCAGAAATCATTTTCCTCTCTCTTTTCATACATATGCCTTTTGTTGAGTCGTATTTAGTGGTCCTAATAACCAGATGATCTCTAATTGCTGACCTCCGTAGCCATAATTTCCCTAGTCCTGGGAGGAAGTAGTATGGGAAAAGAAACCTGGCAGAAACCCAAACCAGGGTGAAGACTGTCCAGATGCAAAAAGGTTGAGGATATGGGCTGGGTCTCCTCTGTATCATATTGCTCTCTGTCATCTCCTGGGCTCAGGAGCCTGGGGGCCGTGCTTCTCTGCAGCACTACCCTGGCTTTCTGGATGTGGGACTGATTTGAAAGCGAGCATGCAAAGGGCTGGCTGAGCCAGCAAGTTCTGCCACACTGACTGTGGCTGGTGTTAAGCAGAACGACTGCTGACCCTACAAGCCAGGGGTTGGCAAGGATCGACCTAGTTAGTCTTGGATCAGTTGCTTGCAGGCATCTGTTGTATATATTCCTGCCATTCTTTTTTATTTAAAAATTTTGATTGACAAATATACATTGTGTATATTCCAAGTGCACAACACAATGATCTGATGTACATTGTTTACTCCTAGTGAACACATTGTCTATTTCCCTGACTTCCTGGGGGAGGGGAAGTATGCTTAAATATTTATTTTTATGAGTTTATCTTCAGTGTTAGTCATTTCTAACTAAATAAAGTAACAAATTCAAAAGACTACCGATGAGACAATACCAGTGTAATGGTGGCTACTATACGTAAATCTTTAAAACAAATGACTCATGACTTTTCAAAAATATCGATCCCCCAATTAGTTAAAATAATAACAGAATAAATAAAGTTTCTGTTCCCCAAACACAGTGACTGTGTCGTGATTATGATGTATCTTTTGTTTTTCAGATTTTTGCACAACAACAGATTATCTAAAATCCCAGCTGGGAGCTTTTCTCATCTGGATTCATTAAAGAGGCTGTAAGTGAAAGAGAGTGCATAAACACAAAAACTTTATAATTTTCCCCAAAATAAATAAATCCTAGACGATGATTGCCTTTGCTCCCTTCTGCCACGAATGATCACTGTGATTCTAGTGCATTAAGGAGAAAATTGCCTTGTTAACTGCACAGCGATAGAGGAGCAGTCTACTGAGCTTTCACGGATTCTCTTAGTGACATGCAGAAGGAATACTGAAGGTAGAAATTTTCCTCACTGGTCAGTTTCCTTCCTGGTAAAAATCTAAGGGCTCCCAAGACTTTTCTTTACCTTTAATTTTTTTTAACTAAAAGAAGAAATGTGTTCCAAAGAACATTTCTGGTGATTCAAGTTCAACTCCTCCACGCACACTTCATTGTTCCCTTGTTGCATACAGTTCCCAGCCCAGCTCATTTCCTCCTACATTAAATGGAATGTGACAGAAATCTCAGTCCTCTGGTGGCTCCTCCAATCCACAGGCTTCCCTGCCCTGTCCTCCCACCTGCCTCCCTTTCTATTCACCCCTGTAAGGCCCTTTCCTTCACCCCACCTCTTCACACCACTTGAGTTCACATCATCGATGTTTCTATCTTGTTTTATTTTGTCCCCCACTGTGCACAAGTATAAGTCCCAGTGAAGTGGCGAAGGATGGATGCTCTGGTTTCCAGGTGCCACTTGATCAGCACACAGTGGAAAACTCACAAGGATGTGTCTGTCACCTGCCTTCGAGCCTGCTTTTGTTGCCCTTGGTCTTTTTATGTTACATCCCTAGATGCATGTCTGAGAGCAAAGAGAACGTTAAAATGAAGTAACACTCAGAGCCCACAGGGACCCAAATTCGCATTCCATCAGAGGCCTGCAAATAATGCATGCAGCCTTTGAATTTAAAGGATTGTGAGTCATCAAGGGAACTGTTCATCCCCTTCCAGTGCGTTTCTTCAGGTCTGTGTTCCCCAGTATTTTAGTAATTCTCACAGCAGACACATATGCTGCTGCCTCAGGGGTTTCTCCTTCGGCGCTGCCCTTTCATTATGTTCAAACTCATAAAGTCTTCATTGGTAATTCTTGTTTTGTCAAAGTTTCCTTGTTTATTGTCAGAACGGGTTGCATCCCAACCTCTTGGCGTGCACACACCTATTCTTGTTTTTTAATCATGTGTGGGAAACGCAGAATACCATTTCATTTTGTGAAACAGTCATAAGATGCTTCAGTTTGGTGGTGGGAGAAATATTACATTTTATGTCTAGCTTGTCCCCTTCCCTTTTGTTTTGTTTTGTTATGTCATTTATGGTTAGAATCACTATCTGTGCATATTTGCAATTACAATTCCCGTGCAGTGTTTTTGTCTACATAGATTGCCACCTGGGTACCATTCTTGGCTTCTAAGACTCTCAGAAAGTGTTGAAGTGCTAAATCCCTGAGCTTCCTAATCTCTTTCTATTATTCTTTCTTGTTAAATCTTTGCAGCAGCTTTTCTGTTTCCATCTTTCACATTTATTGAAAAAGCATTCACTGCAGTGCTGAACAAACATGCAAAAATAAATGCTAATAAGAAAGCCAAGGGAGACACCACATATGGAGATGTGCCGGTATTTTATATACATGCACTACATTTAGTTCAGTTGTTTTACGGTAATTTTGTTAATATGTTACGTTGATAAAGGACCTTTATTTTATGGATGGGGAACTGACACACATGTGATTTGAGTACACTCCTCCAAAGTCAGTGAGATCCTGAGTAGTGGGCGCTGGCATCCAAATGTCCCAAATCCTCAAATGTGTGACCTATGCAGGCTGTGATTTAGATGAAAAAAAATAAGACAGAGTGAAGGAAAGACACAGGGAAGTGAGACATGAGCAACCTGCACTACTAAGAAAATTTTACATCAAAAATGAGGTCTGGAAACAACTAGGACACAACCATTCGCTGGTAACCCATGGGAATAAGAGAAACTGTACTGAGTGTGGGCATGTGTTGTAATTCTGATTTCAGTAACACTTCTGTCTTCAAATCCCTTGTCTAGAGAAAAATTGCTAGAATTATCAGAATTTCTTGGAGGTAAAAATGTCTCTTAGTTGTTCATTTTTGACTTGCGCAAAGTATCTAGAAGTCTCCTCTTTTATACTTGTGTATTTTCAGAAATTAATGATTCTGAAAATGACTCTTTTGTATGATTTCTAGACAGTATATTGAGATTCATAGCCAAATTGTTTTAATTCCAAATATAATTTGATATAACCTCATCTAAATTACTTGAAGTACAAAATATTTCATATCTAATATTGTAGTATTCCTGAAGTAAATCAGTGTAGGATTATGCAGGTGAATTGATAGTAAAGGCTACACAGGATTATTAAAATAATAGTCATTTATTTAGCTCTTTCTCTTGATAAAACATAGAGTTTATAAGTCTAAAGACCTGAAATTATAAAATAAGTAGTAATAAGAAATTCTTTAAATTACTGAAAACAAAGTGGGTATATAAAATAGGTACATAAAATGAACTACATACAATGAACCAATAAAATTCAATAAATGTTAGTAAACTTAATTAATATTATCATTCATTCATTATGTTATTTTGTAACTAGCATGATTTTCATGTATCTTTTCCCTTGCATGAAAGTTCATTGATTTTCTCCTGTCATTTGTATAATCAACTCTGACTTTTCATGGCTCACATTTGAAGAATGACCCACCATGCCTGCTGTGACAATGGGGAGTCCTCTGACCCGGGTTCTGTATTTGAACTCCACCATGTCTATGTACAGCAGCCATAGTCCTCTTAAATGCACTGCACAAGTTAATCAAATGCCCTTTGAAAAGTATTTGGATCTTTCACTAAATGAGATCATGTAAATACAAAATGATGTGTAACTCTTTCCAATTAGAAAGAATTATTTTACCCGTGTCATTCTTCTGCTCTTTGGAATTGTCCACCGAAGAGTGATTGTCCAAATGAGTAATTACCTCAATGTTGTGCTTCTGGACTGAACGCTATCAAAAGTTAGCTGTTTTTTATTTATCATTCTTGGTATGATATTTGATGGAAGAATACTTTCAAGATGAAGAATAGTAAGATAGTAATTTTTCTTGACAGTGTATTCATTCTTAGAATAGTCTAATATAAATTAATAAGAACCACCTTTCTTGTTGACTTACTCTATTGCTTTTATTATTCAACATTCATGGCTCCAAAATATACATAGCATTTCACAGGTGCTTTCTAATTACAAATTGGGAAATATTCTATTTATTAAGGGTCTGGAAAAGATTATTATAGAAAAGTACAGTTCTAGTATTTTATTATTTTGCAAATATAAAAGGATTTTTCAACTAGAAAATATTTGTTATATACAATACATTCACAACCTATTTGTGTCTGTATGCGTACATCCATATATCTATATACCTATCTATACATAAATTTGTGGTTTGGTTTCAGTTTTGTACCTTTCCATAGATGAATATCTTAACTGAAGTTGACAATGATAAAAGGAGAAATTACATCCTGGGCTCAGTTGTTACTAAAACATTTATAATATACTTTGCATAATTGTTTTACAATAAATTTTTCCTAAATTTATTAAAATTTAGTGCCAGGGAATAGCACGACTTTGTTTTTTTTGCCCATTCCAATGCCATGATATTGATACAAATTTTTTTAAATTAATACTAGGTGAACTTTTATTTTACTTGCAGACTGATTCCTACCGATATTTAGGGCTTTTCGTTAGCTACCATTTCCTTTTTAGCTCTTGGAACGGATGAACAGGAGAATTTCTCTTTCTGGGAATTTAGACATGCACCATAGTGCTCTTTGGCTATCTGTCATTTCAACTTCATGAGAGAACAATGGTAGGAAGGATTAGAAAAATACTGTAAAACTTGAGCAAAGTGAGTAACTTCTGTGTCTAGATGGAGAAATACTACAAAGAGGCATTTGTAGAACAGTGTGTAAGGCAACAGAGGTGCACATTTTAGCATCTTTAAAAAGTATTGTGCCTGGATCCTTTGGTGAACACACGCCTGTCCACAGCGCTGACGAGAGGACTCTCCGGAGGAAAGAGCTAGCAGTCTGCGCAGCTGCGTGACTCAGCGCATGCGCATTCAGAAGCTTCTTTGAGCGCTCAAACCTCCAGTCTTCCTTTTAAATAATTCCTACAAAAAATTGAGGTATTACCACCAAATCACAGTTTCGGCTCTTCAGCATGTAAATAAACTTGAGCATTTCAGCACTTATCCTCTTACTTTCTGCTTTTCTCTAAAAATAAGTGTAAATTGTATACACAATTGTTGATTTCAAATCAGTATAGTGTACGTTAAGTGAAAATTGCTTTTCAAGTGTTAAAATAGCTTTTCAGATATATTGTTAGTATTGAAATGTATTTACTTTGTCTGAAGCACACAGTTATGCAAGCAATTCTTTTTACTATTATTTTATAGATACGTAATATTTGTACATTTTTGTGGATACTGTATAATTCCATACATGTGTACGAGGAGTAACATTCAATGCAGAGTAATAAGCACCTCCATCTCCCCAAATGTTAATTAGTTCTGTGTGTTGGGAACTTTCATTAAGTAACCAATTCTTAAAATCTGTATATGGGCGACTAGAATTCTAGAGGTAAAATATGAACGATATTTTGTCCACACTAAAGATCATCATTAGAAATTAGCGATCACTTTTAACAGTTCTAATTCTTGCCTGATGTGCAGGCGTTTGGATTTCAATCCTCTGGTGTGCGACTGTGATTTAAAGTGGCTGGGCGAAGTTTTACAAGACTATGCCAAAAATGGCCAAACTCAGGGGGCTGCTGTCTGTGAATACCCCCGAAGACTCCAGGGGCGCTTGGTTGCTTCAGTAACAGTCGAGGAATTTAACTGTGGTATGTAATTTTCTCTGAGTGTATAAAAAGAAAGGTCTTCTGCGTGTCTTCCTTCTATAAAGGTTCATTATATGATGTTGCATTTAAAAGAACACATTATCAGAGATGTTTTTACGAGATTTAGTTAAAAGCATGTTCAATTTCCTTTTTATTATCTGCATCTAAGGAAGTTTTTTTTTCCTCAGGAACTGTAAGTTTTCAGAAAGTCCTGAAGTATCATTTAATCCAATCTTTATAATTTCAGAGGAAAAATGCTAACAAAAATGGTTTTCATGAGAAGCAGTACCCTGCATTAAAACCTCCCCTTACATCTCAGTACCACTTGGTGCTAATTGTCTGTAAGTTTTTTCAACTTTAGACACAAAAATGGCTAGCATTCACTGTTCAAAAAATTTATTTAGCAAATCCAATAATTGTTTTTCTACATATATTGAGTCCATGTGTTTGACTGTAGTAATTAAAATCAGTTTTACTATCTCTCTAAATTTTTAAATAATGCACACTTTGAATTTAGTAAGCCTATGTTCATATTCTGACAATCCTAATGAAGCAATTTGGTTTTATTTAAAGAACTGATTATAGTTGCTTAGGATGTTATTTGATTTTCATTTAAAGTTTTAAGCAAATATAAAACTATGTTCCTGTATACCTTGATATATTCCTATACATAATTTTTTAAAAAATTTTAATTTTTTTTTAATTTAAAGAGAATAGAAAAACAATAAGAAAATAACAACATAGACAAAAACAAAACAAAGCAAAAACAATAAAAATGATATACTTTTCAAAACACAATGATAGGGATTAACAGTGGTTCTTTTATTACATATTGCTATCTTCAGTGAAGTTGCTCAGATTGCCAGATGTAAGAATGCAAGATTGATCAAACCATTAAAGAGAACAAAAAATCATAAAAAACATTAGAAATGATACAGAGCTTCATTAAACAAAATGTTATAAATTCACCAATTGTTGTTATATTGCATATTGTTGTCTTCAAATTAGTTGTTCAGTTTACCAGATATAAGCATGCAACATTGGTCAGAAAATTTTAAATAGTAATAGATTACCACACACAAATGTACTTATACCTGTACATATGAGAGAGACAGAGGGAATTCAGTTTCTTGGAAATTCACTCAGATGATTACTTAGAAAAGAAATTTATTTTCACTGTTCTTTCAGTGGTGAGCCATTTTCAAAATTTCTCTAATCAGATCATTTGAAAAATTACACTGATATAATTCAATTCCATCACACTGAGAAGAAAACTGGGTTGTTATGTACTGCCAGGTGACTCTCAAATTTGTCGATGGCTTGCATCTTTACACCACTTCTAGTTCATGTCAGAGTCAGATTTACCTGGATTGTGCTACATCTTAGCTGATATTTCTGCTTTCATTTTTTCCTTCAATCTATTATATTTGGGGAAGTCTTCTAAAACCATATATGATTATATATTTCTTCTATCCATAACCCTTCTTTCCTTCCTTAAACAGCTTCCTTAAAATGAAACACACCATCCTTCAGGCACTCAGCACACATGGCTGGTCCCATCCACCCTCTGCAACTACCATCCCTTGTGTTCTCCACTTACTTAGCTGTGTACCTGATGCAGCCATCATTATATTCTTTCAATTTTTGGAAGTTCTTAAGCCCCTTTCCCACTCAAGGAACTTCCACGTGCTGTTTGCTTTTCATACAATATTCTTTTTTTGTATGAATTAAATCTATATTTTTTGTAATACACATTTACATCATATAATAATTGGTCATTGTGCGTAGTTGGTACATGTATGTGATACATTTGAATTCTTCCCTTAATGCCATTTCCTCCCTCCAATATTCTTTTGCACCCCTTCTTTCCATACCCCTCTTCATAAATACTAATTACTGGGAAAGACTTTACTTATTCCCTTTTCCCATCTACCGCCTTATACATAGAAACTGAATTAAACCTCTACTTATAATCTGTCACACAAAATTTGTTTTCCATTTTAGTGTGGATCTCAATTTGTTATTATATATTTTATATGTTCCTTTAGTTTGAGGGACTTCAATAAGAGTATAACTACACGGGGACAGAGACTATCTCTACCTCACCAGTCTTGGCACTGTGCCTGGCACATTGTTAATGCTGAATTATTGTTTAAAATAAATAGCCAAATAAACAAAACCAGCTTTAAAAAATAAGATAAAGCCAAAATGCTGATCATATGGACTTTTTAATCAAATAGGTGAGATTATTAAGGATCTGGGTCATGTAATAATATGTAAGGTTACTTACTAAAGGTAGGAAATCTCAAATAATTCATTTATAAAGGAAAAAATTTTGTCATGTAGGACAGTTTTAACAGAACTATGTAAAATATACTATGAAAAGTAAAGTCCTTTTGTACATTTTTCTTCAATATTTAAGTTCAGTAATATTGTCCAGTTCCTTAAAAATCACTCCACTTTCTCATTAAAATTCAAAAAATTTCCTTGATTTACCACTTAATTCTTATTATTTTAGCATGGTATCATTTGCTTATGTTGAGAAGTAGTTTTGCTTGCCCAGGTTGGATGTCTAGATGCATAAGTTTTTAAAATTGTTTAAAGTAGTTAGATGGATAATTGTCTATGGAGCATGCGTATGAAACTGCAAACTTGATTTAAGTAGCTGGCTTGAAAATCTGATCCATAAAAATCAAACTCCTTCAAAAATTCCTATATTGAACTATTATGTGTAAAAAACCCAGGTAAATTTACTTCACTAGAGATCTTTTATGTGGTGAATAGTTTGAATTTCTAAAGTTTGAATTAAATATGTCTAGTGGTTAAACTGGTACATGTTGACTGGGTAAATGCGGTTCAATAGGCACAACTTTAATACAGAAAGTGAAAGCGCCCATAACTCTTTCTCTCAGTGATAGTTTAAAATGTTATGCTTTGGTAGTTTAAAACATACTAGTAATCGCTTTGTTACAGAAAGTCCCCGAATTACCTTCGAGCCCCAAGATGTGGAGGCAACATCAGGAAATACTGTGTACTTCACTTGCAGAGCTGAAGGAAACCCTAAACCCAAGATTACCTGGATACATAATAAGTAAGCACTGTACTGAGCGTGGGCATGTGTTCTGATTCTGATTTCAGTAACCCTTCTCTCTTACTTCACATCTGTTGTCTAGAGAAAAATTACTAGAATTATCAGAACTTCTTGGTGGTAAAAATGCCTCTTAGCTGTTAGTTTTTGAATTGTTCAAAATATCTAGAAGTTTCCTCTTTAATAATTATGTATTTTCAGACATTAATGATTCTGAAAATGACTATTTTGCATTAGTTCTAGACAGTATATTGAGATCCATAGCCAAAATGTTTTAATTCTGAATATAACCTGATATTACCTTATCTAAATTCCTTGAGGTACAAAATATTTCATATTTAATATTGCAATATTCCTGAGGTAAATCAGTGTAGGATTATGTAGGTGAATTGATAATAAAAGCAATACAGGATTATTAAAATGATAGTCATGTATTTAACTTTTGCTCTTTGATAAAATGTAGAGTTTATAAGTCTAAAGACCTGAGAACAGGTCTTTAAGTAGTAATAAGAAAGTTTTTTATATTACTGAAAAAAAAGTGGGTATATAACATAAAATCGATACATAGAGTGAACTACATACCTAATACAATTCAACAAATGTTCGTGAACTTAATTAATATTGCCATTCATTCATTATGTTATTTGGTTACTAGCATGATTTTCATGTATCTTTTCCCTCACATGAAAGTTCATTGATTTTCTCCTGTCATTTGTATAATCAACTCTGAATTTTTATGTTTTTCACTGAAATAATCTGAGACACACTATAGTTTATACACTTTATATATTATTTTCATTTCTAATTATAGCCAGATTCTCAGCTTATCCTGTTAAATTGTGTTTTTAATTCTTGCAAAATATATAAATGTAGGTTAAAATGGCTTGAGTATATGGCAGTTATGACTACCATTAAATCTGAAGTTTGGCCTAAGAGGAAGACTACACTTGGTGAAAAGACTTCAATTAATTTCCATTTTGAAATTGTTCAGGAACACTTGAAAAATAATTAATTTGCCCTTTGTTATATCTCAAAGTGCCTCACTCGGTCTTTTTGCACAGTTTGATTCAAATTTTTTTTCAAGGTTATGATGCTATGAAGTACTATTTAGAAAAGAGTAAATGAAAATTCTTACTGCTTTATGTACTTCATGAAATTTTAATTATAGTGTTTAAAGAAGTTAAGGTACATTTGAAAAGAAACAAACCTGAAGAGAAGGAATAAAATAAAGAAAAGATGATGTATAGGTAGAAATTTCTGTTGAAATATAGATCATTTTCAAGAAAAATTAAAGGTGAAGAGTTTATGACAAGAAATGTTTAAAAATAGCAAATCTTAATTTTCTGCTTATTCATTGTTTTTTTTTATGGGAAGATAATATATATCCTGAAGCTGCATGAAATATTAAGTATAGAATAGCAAATAATTTGAAACAGTCATCTGTTTAACATGAATCAAATTTAGAAAAAAATACTACCGACCCCTAGAGGCTGCTATATAATCCTGCCTTATCCTAATGCATTTCTTCTACTCTTTACATAACTTAAATCCTGACTTTAGAGCTCTTAGAAAAATGGGCTCAAAACTGATTAGACACAATCAAAGGTAGAATTAGAAGATTAGAAGTAAGCAGATTTTAAAGTGGCTGAGAGACAAAAGGACTGCATGCAAAGATCCAGCACATACCCAGTGAGAGTTCCAGAAGGAAAGGTCAAATAGATGATCAAGAGGAAGTATCTGAAGAGGTAACAACTAGAAATCTTCTAGAAAAAAAAGAGAGGTGGAAGATTGATAGGCAAACATGTACAACTACAAAGTTATACTAATCCAGAGGATGATGATACAGCACTATTAATATAAACTAAAACTACCTTCAGGGAAAATGTATAATTCCATATCAATAGGCCATATTTAATAATAAAAGGGTGCAGTTCATCTGGATGCAAGTTCCATGAACTTTGCTTGGTCTGATGTAATATCTGCCAAATGTAAGAAATAAAAAAAGAAGGAAAGAAATAACAATTGACTAAAATCCCAAGGTTAAGTGAGCTCAAACCCAATTGTAGTGAGAAATCTTAATACTATTTTCTCAGAAAGCTTACAAGTGAAAATTAGAAGACATGTGCAAACATAGCTAAGAATCCTAAGGGCACACACATGTATATATAGACACACATTCGAAGGTATCTACCTATCTACATTTGCTACATTAAAAGCTAAACTACATGGTACTTTCAACTAACTCTAGAATATCTATCAAGATTGATCACATACAAAGGCACAAAATCTCAAGTCACAACAAACCATCAATTTAATAAAGATGTTTTTGGTTCATTTTCAGTTACTAGTAACTATACCAGAGGCTGATCAATTTTTTAACGAAAAGGAAAGAGGTTTGTTTTAGCTCATGCTTCCAGTCCAAGGTCTGAATGAAAATTGGCTGCATCTCAAGATGCTCTTCTTGCTGGCAGAGTCCTTGAGATGGTGCAAGGAATCACATGGCAAGGGACAGGGTGCATGAGAGACCTGGCCAAATTAAGTTTTATAGCACACCCACTCTAAAGAAAACCCATTAGCCAACTGGATTTATTCACCTGCTAATCGATTTCACTCTATTCATAGGGTGAGACTTTACCTTTTAAAGGTCTCTCCCTCACTTCTTAATATCCCGTTATAGGGATTAAATTTTAATATGAATTTTGAAGGGAAAAACATAGTAAAGCCATAGCAGATCCATTCCCTTCTTCATAGTTCTTTAAGAAATTAGGCATCAGCCATTTGTCAAGGTGATTTTGGAAATTCTTTAGGTTTCTCCTAGGAAAGTGAAGTGTTCATTCCCGAAGCACCCAGGAATAGTGCTCAATATATAGTTCTTAAATAACTGATTGAATGATGTCAAAGAAAAAGGGAAGCACTTCAGGCTGCTGGAGGGATGAGTGTAGGTACAGGATGGAAATGAATTAAACTAGCTTTGGGGAGCGAGGTACACCTTATTTAGGAAAACAAAGGGTCTTTATCTCGCAGAGAATTAGAAAAAAAATTCAGAAAAACTGAAAAGCTAACGACTCTATTTTTCACTTTATAATCTTTGAGAATCACTAGAAGATGTATAGCAAGGTAGTGACATAATGAAAGAGATTTTTAAACAAGCCATATTTTCCTTAATATTAAGGTTCCAAACATGGAAGTCTCAGCCATTCTAAAGAAAGTTAAATTCTGTGCTGTATACGATTATGACAGAATAGATTACAGGCAACCATTACAACCATATTCTAACTTGTGGTTGACGATGGCTTTGTATGTGGTGAATATTTATAATTTGTGAGATGATAACATAGGTATATTTTTAGTGATTTGGTATAGCAGCTAGTTCTTAGCAGGCATTTAAAACTTGCCACAATATATTACAGATCATTGATATTTCTTCATTAAATTAAATGTACTTATTTGCATGTTTTCAAGGAAAAATCTTAAGTCTATCCTATTTATACAAGCCTTTGTACTTTTTTTTTTGGTACCAGGAATTGAACTCAGGACCTTGTGCTTGCCAGGTAGGCACTTGTGCCACTGAGCTATATCCCTGGAGCAACCTTTGTATTTTTTTAAACTTCATATTTTTTAGAGATGATTACTATCCAGCTTATATTTCACTGACAGTGTGAAAGGAATATTTTATACTGTGCAGACTTATTTTTATTATTAGAGTAGCATCATGACTCACGAGCATGCAATTTTTATGAGCATAATGAAGAAGAGATGAACAAACAGGGAAATGACCAGGGAAAAGAATAATTAATGTATGTGAGCGCTGCTGACCATTTTATATCATCTTATCATAGCGAGTCTCAGTGTACTCTACTGCATTGTCTAGACAGATGATAGATATCATGTACACTTCTGGTGGCCTTTGATAGTTGAGGTGTCAAGTGTTAGAACAATACTAAATACTAGCACTAATACTAAATCATCTTTTGAAATACACAGTTCCATTATTGTTAACATATTCCATGGTGTGTTGGACATGTCTGAACCTGCTTGTACTCAGTGGATTATTCATGTAATTGAGAAATTACATCTTCCTAGTATATAAAAATGGTCCATATCAATTATTTGGATATAATATCCAATAACTGGGTAAGTGGGGGCATGCTTATTGAATGTGAAGAGATATAATTTGGTTCAATGATGTACAACTTTAGAACTGTGCTTAAAATACTTAAGTTATTTAACGTCATGTAAGCCTTTTGAGTCATGCTTTCTGGTGTTTATGCCGTGTTATGTATGTAGAGTAGCTTTGGAATCTTACACTTCAGAGGAGGTCCAGCTGCCCCTTTGACTGTAACATGCACTGAGAGACCATTCAAAGCAATGCCTTTTCCCCAGAGCTAATCTCTTCAAACATGACAGCTAGAAGACCTCATTGTCTCACTGGTACTTTTTCTTCACATCGAGCTTTTCCCACTCAGTAGTTGAATAACATCCCATCTCTCCTGTGATTGATCTGTTCCACACTAAAGCACGAGTGCTAGCTGAGAGTGGTGGCACACGCCTATGATATCTGCACCTGTTAGATGAGGCAGGAGGATTGGGTGTTCCACGTTCAAAATAAAAGGTGAAACAGAGCCATTGTCTGCTTCTTCTTTATGTGTTGTGCAAAAAATTGTTGAATAAGGATGTTGATTTCTCTCCCACCTGGACTTTACTGCTTTTATGTACAAGAATGGACCAAGCTATTCAGGATTACCTGTAACACCTTGACTGTAGAAAGCTAACAAATTAAAGGGAGAGCTATATGATTCTTCCAATGGACCTTTTCCTCTCTGAAGGGTGTTTTTGGTTGGTGGTACATCATAGGTGTTTAGTAAATGTTCATTGAGCAGTGAATGATGTAATTTTTTTTCATGCCTAATGCATTAATTGCAATTTTCTTTTTCATGCCTAATGCATTAATTGCATTAAACATACTTACATAAACATCTATATACCTTCTCACACATGACCATTAAATATTTTTAAGCAAAAATCTTGATCAGAAAGAATATTCTGTAAAAAATTCTAATGTATGTTTACATGTCAGTAGCTTTGTATTTATTGCTAAAAATAAAATCATTCCCTTGCCTATAATTATTGATGTAATATCATGATACCTGTCTGAACTTGCTTGTACTCAGTGAATTATTCATTTAATTGAGAAATTATATTTTCCTGGTATAAAATGGTCCATATCCATTATTTGGATGTAATATCCAATAACTGGGTAAGTGGGAGTATGCTTATTTAATGTGAAGAGATATAAATATATAATTATACTGGGCTTTGAGCCATGTTGTTTTGAATGCAAATATTTCTTTATCACTTTGACAAAATATGGAAATATATTGAATGACTCACAGGAAAGAGGTGAGATGCTTACATATCACCATATGATGACTTCTCTTTTTAGAAAAAGAATTCAGAAGTGTTACACTGTGCAGAAGTAATCTTTGTATAGGAGAGATGGAACCACAGCTAGAATGTATGTTGCCCAGGAAGGCCGAGCGTTTAAAATTCCCTTCCTTTCTCATATATCCATGTGCAAGGTATACTTTCAAAAATGAGAGGGGGAAAACTAGAATTTACAGTAAAGTAATTTGAATTATTCAGATTGTAGAAATAAATTAACACACAAATCATGTTGATAAAGTACGCTATGTCAGTCTGGTTAAAAGTTTTAAATAGGAAAAGGATTGTATGTGAAGGGGGCATATAATAAATATGTATACCCTGTTTCCAGCCGTTCGCTGCCTGTGGAAGATGACACTCGCCTTAACATGTTTGATGACGGGACACTCATGATCCAGAACACCAGAGAGTCAGACCAAGGTGTCTACCAGTGCATGGCCAGAAACTCTGCTGGAGAAGCCAAGACGCAGAATGCCATTCTCAAATACTCTGGCCCTCCAGGTGAGTATTTTTTCTCCCTAGTGGAAGTTAGCATAAGTGCACCAGTTATCCATCGGTTACATACAGTAGAAAATGACCTCATATTGCTGCTTTTAGGTATGCAGATTTCCAAGTGCAGTAAGTGCTACTGATTGGGATGTTTCTTGACTTGCTTCAGGGAAAATAGAACTAACATTTTTCCTCTTGAAGTTTATTTTGTTTACAGAAAATATAGACATTTTGTCTTATTTATCTTCTTGTCACCATAACACAGTATCCAGCACTTGCAATTTAAAGAAGGAGAGGTTTGTTTCAGCTCTCAGTTTTTAGAGATTTTAGTCCAGAGTTGGCTGGTGCCAGGGCAGAGCAGTGTGGCAGAGGAGCATGGCAGAGGAGAAGGAGTTTGTGACATGGCCGTGGGGAGCAGAGAGAGTAATCAAAGGAGGAGGGAGGGTGCGACACCATTCTAGGATACACCCCCAGTCCTCCTCCAAAGAGGCTTCACTTCCCAATATCATATCAGTTATAAATTAATCAGTGGATTAATCTGCTGGTGAATATCACACACCCAGAAAGCCCCACATATAAACACTTGAGGTTGTGTGGGACATCTAGATATAAACCGTAACACACACACGCACACACACACACACACACACACACACACACACACATTTTTTTCACTGCTGGGAATTGAACTCTGGGCTTCATGCATAGTAGGGAAGCACTTTCTCACTGATCTATACCTCCAACACTTTAATTTCCTGCTTTTATTCTTTTCTTTCCAGTATGCTACAGACATGACTCCATGACTCCAAGACTGTACTATTATCCTTTCATTGCACATCTCACTTTCCAGTATTCTGAGGCAGAGTGGACCTCTTGCACCCAGGCAGCAATATCATCTTCAGAAATTCAGTCCATGTGTCAGTCATCACGCCTGCTTTATAAACTTATGTTCAGTGCCCACTGAGCTTGTGTCAAGGATTGTGCAGCCTTTTCCCTTTCCAGAAGCTTTGCTATAATTTGAGTGATTTATGTAAGCAAATTATGGTAACCATGACAAATTTTCATTAATATCATTTCAAGATTTGTAAATAAGCTGGGCGTGGTGGTGCACTCCTGTTATCCCAGCACTCAGGAGGCTAAGGCAGGAGGATCACCATGAGTTTGAGGCCAACCTGGGCTATGTAATGAATTCAAGGCCAGCCTGAACTGCATAATAAGACTCTGTCCCAAAAAAGACTGAAAAAACAAACAAACAAAAAAGATTCCAAGGTAGGGATATAGTTCAGAAGCACAAGCACCTGCCTGCCCAGTGCAAGGTCCTGAGTTTGATTACTGGTTCAAAAAAAAAAAAAAAAAAAATTTGGAAATATATTATCTCTTGCATTCTGAGACTATAGTCTATTAGGCAATAGCCATAATTCAATAAAATGTTAAGATTTTTTATTTTAAAGGTAAAAATAAGCTAACAAAACAACGACAAGGAAGACAAAATCAAAACAATACAAAACAACAAAAATGATACATGACCTCAGAATGATAGGAAGATAACAGTAAAATGTTAAGATCTGCGATGTGTTAGAGTGAATGGAAGCATAAGGTACAGTTCTGTGCTAGTAAATGTTCCAAAACTGGGTCTGAGGTGGGCAGACCCTTGATTTGCAGCATTTGTTAATTTCTATAAAACTAATAAAACCTCCACGGCTTATTTCTAATTTCCAATATAGCATCCCTGAATGTGCAGCTGAAAAGAGAGGTGCAGGAGCTCAGCATGAGGCATCCCTGCTACCATGAAGACATGAGACACAAATAGTTTCAGACTCACAGATCACAGCACAAAGCAGTAAGATAAGCAGAAGTAACAAATTTTAGAATGTAGCTTTGATGTTAATGAGACTGACAATGTTAAGTTTATGTAATTCAGCTTTTAATAATGACTGCTTAAAGTCAGCTTGCAGAATACTGAAAATTTGATAACTGGTTGCCAAGAGCCAGGTCCAGCATATCACTTAGGGCTTGAGAAGGAAAAGATGGCAACAGAAGATAAATCCGGGATCACTGGGCAGTGATACTAATATCAACAGAGATAACAAACAAGATGAAATGGGAGAGGAAGCCTGGGAGCAGACTCACAGAGTCACATTCCACTGAGAGAGGTTTGTCCGGGAATGGGGACATCTAAGTGGAGAGGGAGAACAAATAGGAGAAAGAAAGATAATACAAGCACAGCATTACTTTAAGAGAAAGGGTGGCCTAAGGGGAGACAGAGGAAGGAACACCTAAGAGGTGGGAGCCGTGGGGGGTACTGAGGAACACCCAGAGCCCCAGTGATTTGGGAGGCACAAGGAAAGTTGGATCATTCAGAGTATTTAAGACTGGCTTATATTAAGAGTGATCAAATGAGATTTTTCTCTTCTGGTGAGCTATCTCTGGCTGCAGTGTACAGAGCCAACAGGAGGAGTCCGTATGATGAGGAAGTTAGCAACTACTACGATGAAGTGGAAAGGCACAAGAAGGCAAAGCTGGTGGGGGGAATGCACTGAATCGAGATTTACTGCAGGAGAAAGCACCTGTGTCGGGGACTGACTAAGTCTTGACTTCCTTTCACAGTTTTTCAATAAGTTCTTTTTTCCTTAGTAGTACGTATTTGTGATACAAACAATTGCATTCATTTTGGGGAGCTGGTATCCACACGTATCGCATCCTGATAATTTTTTACTTCTTTTTCCATGTTTTCCCATCTCCCTGCAAATTAGAAGATGAAAAATATTGTTTATATCTTTTCTGAGGTTTAGAATAACATAATTCCTGATCCTTTTAATAAGACATCATTAATCTTTACATCCCTCAAGTGTATTTTCCCATTCGAAGCATCTTCATTCTGTGTATGCTACCTAAGCTAAGTCTATTAGTATCCCTCAAAAACTTCAGCTCCAACCTCTCTGGCTACCTTTTCTCCCTAACGTCCCTAAAAATTTCTTCTGGATACATGTCAGATTGTCCTTCTCTCTGCATCTGCTATCATTGTCTTACTTTAAAAATACTCCTTATTTTTATTAAAAGAGCTTTCCCTGTGTGTCTCATGTCTCCTGGCAGCTTCTCCTACAGGACTTTGTACCTAACTCTAATAAGACTATTTTCCAGGTGAACTGCAATTTTTCACTCACTGGATGATTTTTTTCTCTAACCATGAACATGCAAGGAAAGGAATATGCATTGTTTGACTTTATATCTTTCTAATACTAAAATTTTTTCTAATATACTGAAAACATTCATTTTATTAGAAATTGAATTAAATCTTCATTGTTGAGTTAGAATAGGCCAAGGAATTCCTACTTTCCAGGGCGTATTCACCTCAGAAACCAAAGAGTCCTCCAAACACACTGCAGTAGCATTTCTAGCAGTTTAGTAAGCCTTCAATTTCTGCTTGAGATTACCATTAAAGATGGAACTCTCCTCGTTAGTAAGAGCAGAAGCCTTTATATGGAATTCCAAAATTTCTGCTCACTCACTGAATCAGTTTTCAATATGTTTAGCTGGAAGTAGCTGAAAACTTGACAATACATAGCCAAACATATTGTGTGTGTTTGCATGTGCATGTGTGTGTTTTAACTGTATGCAAGGGTAGTCTGTACGGAGCTGCCACATTGCTCCAGTCAGCCAATGATGTTTTTCTTTACTCTTAAATCCTTTTCACATAGGTCTCTGTTGTGGTTATTTTTCTCTTGTTGCCGAGACAAAACACCTGATGCCCAAATTAAAGGTGGAAAGGTTTTTTTAACTCAGTTTGTGGAGGTTTCAATCCGTACTCATCTGGCTCCAAGGCAGGGTGGAATGGCAGAAGGGTGACAGTTCCTGGCAGTGGAAGACAGCAAAAGCAACAAGAGTAAAAAGGGGAGGAGACAGAGAGAAAGCAAGCCTCTTGCCCTCCCCTACATTGTATGCAAACTACCTGTCCCAGGGTGGGTGTAGCACTCACACCCATAATCCCAGCATTAGACCATGAATCAATCACAAATTCTAGAAGCCCATCCCATGACAGCATAAAACTTTAGGGGAAAGTCTAGACACAAACTATAATGACATTCTACCCCTGGCCCCCCAAAGACTCGTATACATCCCTTTATTCAAAAGGCATTTTAGTCCATCTCCAAGACTTTCAGTATTGCTGAAAGTCCAAGTCCCAAGTCTCCTCCAAGATGTAAGGCCAACTCTTAGCTGTGAGCCCCTGTACCAATGAAAAGAAAGTTAAACACCTCCAACATTCAATGGCATGAGATAGACATTTCCATTCAAAAAGTTACAAACAGGAGGATGCAAAGGAATGGGATCAAAGCAAGTCCAACATCCAGCAGGATAAATATTAAGTCCAGTAGTTCCATATGAAGCAATGTGAACATCTGCAGCAATCTTTGGTAAGGTGTGAGCTCCAAAGGCCTTCTATGGCTCTGCCCTTATGGTACTTCCAATGGTAGTGTTCATAGTTCCCAGGGCTTCTTTCTTGGGCCTACTTTGCTCCCTACTTGCAGTTTTCCTCAAATAATCCACATTCCTGGCTTCTCCAAACATCTGAGTTCTCCACTGTACCTTTGCCTTCATTCTCACAGCTTCACAAACTGCCCTCTCAGGAGCACCCTCCCTGGCCTCCCAGGCCTTCATCTGAAATTGGGGTGGAAACCACCTTAACCCCATAACTCTCGCATTCTGCATGCACCTAAAACCAGCACCACATGGAAGATGCCAAGGTCTGCTACCATCTGGAGCAGTGGCCTCCTCTCTCTTGGCTGCACTTGGCACTCTGAATCCAATTCTGAGGAAAAAATTTCCTGGGCCACCTCCATTGTGGAATATAGTATGGTCATCACCACCACTCTAGAACCTGATGCAGCTTCCACTGCCATTCTGGAACTTGGTGCTCTGAGGATTTCTTCTCAAAGCAAAGTCTTTCACCTTTGCAGTTTTGAGGCTGCAAAGGGTGGAGACTTGCTGCTTTTTGGATGCCCTCAGGCCATCTTTTCTATTCTCTTATTCCTTCTCAGTAATCAAGATTTCCTCTGCTCTGCTTTCTTTCTAGCCCAACTCACAGTGTTTTAAATCATCCTGCTGGGCTCTTTGCTCTCAATTCTCAATATAAATCTGGCTAAAAGCCCCCAACAATAGCCATGCCACTGCCCCAACAGTAGAATGCCTTGAAATTTCTTCTGCCAGACTAATCAGTCCACCACCCTTAATCTCAGTCTCAAACAAAATCTCTGATATGAGCAAAAGGTAGACAAACTTTTTGTTAAACCAATACAAAGTCTGAATTCTGAAAGCCAGTGCAGTCCTTCTTCCCAGCAGAAACCTCCCAAGCTTGGTCTTTACCAGCAAGATTTCTATCAGCCTTCTGGTCTTCTGAGCTCTGACCTGAATCTCCCATATGGAACAGCTGAGGCCTGCCAGATCTACTTTTTCAGTCAACATCTCTGAACCTTTCCAAACACTTCCTACAAGCCATTCCCAAACGCTGTGCTACCGCATGCACAGGTGCAGGCACAACAACAGCCCTGCTCTCGGTACCAAATTCTGTCTCGGCTACTTTTCTCTCTTATTGCTGAGACAAAATACCTGATGACCAAATTAAAGAAGAAAGGGTTTATTTAGCTCAGTTTGTTTGTGGAGGTTTCAGTCCATACTCGGCTGGCTCCAAGGCAGGGTGGCACATGGCAGAGGGTGACAGTTCATGGCGGCAGAAGACAGCAAAAGCAACAAGAGCGAAAAGGGTAGTAGAGAGAGAGAGAGAGAGAGAGAGAGAGAGAGAGAGCAAGCCTCTCTTCCTCCCTTATATTGTATGCAGGCTGCCTATCCCAGGGAAGGTGTAGCAGTTACACCCATAATCTTGGCATTGGACCCTGGATCAATCATAAACTCTCAAAGCCTGCCCCCTGACTGCCTGAGGATTTGGGGGGACATCTGGACACAAACCATGACGGCTTCTTTTCCCCCTTGTAATCATCCCTTTTTGCCAGAAAGTTGCTCCTGTAATCCAAGCTCATGCCTAAATATCAGGTAGCAATCAGGAAGGAAAGCAATGACTAGTTAGACCTGTTACTTGGGAGAGAGAGGCTCTTCCCAGAGATGTGTGCCTATATCTCATTGTCATAACTGTGTCTTTAAAAAAGGTGAGTGTTTTAAAATTGGTGCATTTAGATATTTAGCCATTAGAGTAAGGAATAGATATGAGTGAGCACCTTGCATTGCCTGTAATACAATAATGTTAAAATGAGATTTTTTTTAAGATATAGGCATTTTATACAAAATCCATATTTAATTAATGTTAGATTTAATTCCTTCATCTTAGCATGGGTTTATAACATTTTGGTGTTAAAGCATTTTGAAAATGACAATAGTCTTAAAATCACAATGCAAAATAAACAGTCCTTCCTGAGTGTTTATTGGCTGTATTTGGTTTTGTTTCTCTTTCACTCTTAGCCAAACCCAGCTTTGTAATCCAGCCCCAGGACACAGAGGTTTTAATTGGCACCAGCACAACTCTGGAATGCATGGCCACGGGCCAACCTCACCCACACATCACCTGGACCAGGAGCAGTGGAGAGTTCCTGGACATATCCAGACACGTGATAACTTCAGGTGGACTTTATTTACAGAACATCACCCTGGGGGATCATGGTGGATTTACCTGTCATGCCAGCAATAACCAAGGCTCTGTTCAAGCCACAGCAAACATAATTGTACAAGGTATGGGAGCAGAAGGTCATGATTGAAATGCCTCTCCTGCCACCCTGAGAAAATTATTTTCCAAGTTAAAATGTAATATCACGTATGTCAGGGGAAGAGATTTTTATTTGCCTAGTATTTTTGGACATAATGGAATTTTCAAGGCTAATCTGCTTCAACATAAAAGTGGGATTTTTTTTTCTGCTTCGGTATTTATCCAAATGCCAGAACCAACCATTAGTAATAAAAGATGAAGTCATTAATCTGGCAAGAAACTGTCAAAAGATATCTGTGGTCCAGAATATTTTACAGATAAAGGGAAGACACTCCAGCTATGCAAGTGGAAAGGCATGGCCCAAGTTTGTAATGATTTACCAAACGGTCCACACCACAGGGCTTGAGAATGTACTGAGGACTCCTAGAGATAGCAGCCGCAATCATAAACTGCCCCCCACACCGGAAATGAGTAAATTGCAGGCATGGGTATGCAGTTATGATACAAGGAAGATGTGCTCTGTTGCCGTAATTTTATTCTTAGTCTGGGGCTATCCCTGTACTTTCTATTTTTCTCAGTGTGTGTGTGTGTGTGAGAGAGAGTGTGTGTGTGTGTGTGTAGCAGAGTATGTAAATGTCATTGAGTGAAGCCAGAAGTCTTGTCCCATGACAGGTGTTTTTGTCATCAGATGTTACTATCATAATTTATAGTTGTCCACTTAAATGATCTCCTGCAGCCATGAATATTTGAATTAAGAAATTCAGTATTTTCAGATTTACATGGGATGCATTTATCAAAACACCAAACCCTAAGAAACACAGAAGAAAGTCATCTACATTATAGCTCTGAGCAGCCCAGTGTTCAGGGAACTTCAGGACAGTGAGTCCCTCTGTGTAAGCACTGGGTTTTATCCTCTTTAGGTTTCCTGAATTAAGTATTTTCTGCATTGAATAGTTTACTGCCAACTCTTTCCACCACAACAGGTGATCATTTTCTTGTTGTTCTTGGCATGTCTGAGCAAAATTTGGGTTTTTCTTTTAGAAATGCTAATATCATAAAAAACATTTTTCTGGCTCTTAAAAGAAGGTGTAAAAATGAAAACATTCCCAAAGTCTTTGGTAACTCCTAAGGGGACTTCCTTCTTAAGGGCCCAGACATTATTTTTAGACTTGTTTCAGTGTGCGGAGACTGAAAAATGCTGTAGAAGAAAAGGTGTTTGGTTTCTGTTGTGCTGGCAGTTTTACGTTTAATGCCTTAGATTTTTAGAAACCTAAGACCTAATCACACATTTGCGTGTTAGCCATGTTGAATTCATACTGTGCTGGTACTGAGCGTTCTGGCTTCTTGCATGTAGTTCCTGCTTTTCCTGTTGGTCCACCTGAATCAATTGATGTTGAACGAAACCCCGGTAGCATTTACAGTCTGCTTGTTTTGCACACCACCACACTACTCATTCCCTCTTCCCAGTCAGTCTGGACTGAAATCTCCATCTGCTTGTCCTCTGTCTCTTGCAACTATATGCTTGTTTCACCTGTGAGTCTGTGTGTTGACATTTTTAATTAGTCTTGAAATGCTTCATTAATCATTCTATACATTTATTTATCCATTTATTTATTTATTTTTGGTACTGGGAGTTGAACCCAGGACCTTGCGCTTGCCAGGCAGGCGCTTGTGCCACTGAGCTATATCCCCGGCCCCATTCTATACATTTATGACATAGGCTTTTTTATTTGCTTACTGCACAGAATAAATATCTTAAGATCACCCTTTTTAGGCTTCTTTACCAGGGATTCTATCAATTTTTTCTTTAGTTCTTTCACAGTTTGGTTAAGCCAAGGTCACAGTATCCACTGGTAGCACCGTTTCCCTGGAGTGGTTGGGAAAATGATAAATACAACACCAAGACAAAAAAATCTAAACAGCTTCAGCTAAATGGCATGAGTTATAATCTACAGTGTTTAGGTGAAATGCTGATTGTCATTTATAGTGTAAACCAAGTGCTTCTTCCGGGCAGAAGTGTGATCGTGAATAGCCAGAATGAAGGATTTTAACAGGGTAACACAACTGTACATCTCAGTGTGTGCTGCTTTAGCACTGCAGGGCGGACTCACAGGGCAGCTTTTCCATGAAAGACCCCTGACCATACTCTCTTCATTTCTGCCCCATCCCCACAGCCTTCATTACCTGCTTGTGTGATGTTTAGTTTTTTGGTTTTTCTCACTCCCTTACTACATAGAAAGTTTTCCACTGATTTAGCCAATAGGAACTAATGTAAGCCCCTCAATTATGTAATTTTCCCCCTATTGTTTGCTCTCATGTAGAATCTTAGGATTTCTTTCTCCCCATCTTTCCTCTTTTCCTCTTGCACACGTGACACAAAACAATGCTTTGCACCCCCACTTGACACACTGTGAATTTTAATTATTATTAAAAAATTGAAATAAAAATTTCCAGTGTTAGAACCTTGACTGAATGTCCTCTTTTACCTACCAACCTTTTATTGTGGAGTTCTTTTGCCATGTCATGAGTGCATGTTTAGTCTAGTAATTTCAGGAGTTAGTTTAATGTTCCAGAAAGAACATCAGGCTTGGGGTAGGGTGACCCAGATTCTTATGCCATCTTTGTCATTTATGGGTTCCTTCAGTCTGAGTTTGTTCATCTATGGAACTAGGAGCCTGGACTGCTTTGAGATAATTTCCAGCCTTTTCTAGAATTTTATTACAAATAGCCAGCACACATTCCTGAGGGTCATCAGGAATCTGTTTGACTTTGTAATCAATCATATGCTGTAAGCATTTAGTCTGGCATCTTACTTAAAATTGATGAAGACTTTCAAAAAGCATCCTTATTACCTGCACACAGTTTGGAGCTTGCAATGAATACACTTTGTCCAATAGTATTTACTTTACCATGTTTGTTGGTTTTGCAGATGGCAATGGAAACAAGGGGTTCTAGAAATTGTGCAAAGACCTAGAACACCAGAAATGATTTACCAAGTTACCTGGAAAGTTCTTTTGAAAGTGTCACTACTTGTTGGAGATTACTGTGTCTTTCTTAAATGGCCATGTTGATTTTTTTGCTAGTTTTCAACTTATGTATGTGGCTATAAGTTATGCACTGTTTACGCAGAATCAAGTACAACAGATCTGAATGTTTAGAGCTCTGAATTTCAACTTAACTGTGACTTTTACAAAAGGTGTAAGAACGTTCACCCTAGTGAGCATGCCTTCCTTTCTGAAATTTGTTTCAAATATTATTGTGTGAAAATTTAGAGACAACTGTTTTGCTAGTGATTCAAATATGATTCGTAGTTTTAAATATGTGTATTGCCCCTAGTACAAAAGAGGGAGGATTTAACCTTATCAATGGCTCCCAAAAGATTTGGAAATGATCCCTTCTTACTGGGTATTGTTTTTCTACTTTGTAAACCAGGTATATGCGCATTCGTGTAAGTAAGTACAAAAGTACACAGGCAGCTAAGTGCTCTTAAAAGTTTGGGAAATCAAACATTGGAAACAAATTCTAATTTCACAGCATTATTTTTTCACTCGGTTTTAAAAGTTATAAAATAACTTTTTGTCTGGGTGCACCCCTTCCTTCTCTTTAGCTCCGCCACAATTTACTGTAAGCCCCCGGGATCAAATCGTCCTTGAGGAACATGCTGTAGAATTCCTTTGTGAAGCTGAAGGCCACCCACCTCCAGTAATTGTCTGGACAAAAGCAGGTATCGGCACATTGAGTGATTGTGGGAAAGAATGAGCACCTTCTTTTGGGGAGGGGCATATAGAAATGGTATAAAGTAATTATGATAGACCTGTCATGGACATAAAGGCACCACACTGAAAGTGATCTTTCTATATGACACGGCTATAATTTCCCTGATGCTTTAATTTTTAGGCACTGGAAGTGTGGCCTTCATGAAATCATCCTTTGGGATTTAAAAATGAAATTTTCAGAAAGTTCAATGCTTTTAAACGTTTTAAAAATGATACCAAATGCTATTCTGTAGAATATTTCAATTTTTTTTTAAATTGACTTTTAACTAGATTTTAAAAATCCTCCTTTAGTACAGAATGAAATCATAATAGAAATGAGATACCAAGTGAATTCCCAGCATAATAAAGCTCTCATCATAAACCTGCTTTTCTGGAAAGTTGGATGGTAGGGCAAGGTGGGGAAGGCTACACCCCGCCCCACCCAGAGGAGCTGGTACTTCTGGGGAGACTGAGGGCTGTAGAACAAGATTGACTGTGGGGTGGATAAGGGCTTGTCTAAGATTCTTCTGGGCTTGGAAATTCTAAATTCTACATTCAGGAACTAGATTAAATCCAAAATGCTCCTGCAATTTAAACCTTATTTATTAAATTTTTGGGTCTAATCCTTAAGAGTCTGGTGTAACACCATAATGGGTACAAGGTAGATCTGGGAGCCAGCCCCCAAACCTAGATTCATATCTTTACTACTCCATTCACTTGTAGGACTTTGGCCAAGTGGTTTAATTGCTGTTAATTAGAGAACCTTTTTCCCTGTGCTGGAGATGATGATATTTTCTACATCAGGATAGTTACAGGGAATAATTTGAATGGATATGTATTTTTAGACATTAGGGACAGTAGCTGACACACTGTGTGCCCACGCAATAAAGAAAAAGGTTAGCTCTTTTTTTCCCATCCATAACAAGACACTTAGTAAGAGATGAGTTTTCACTGAAATCCTTGAAAGTGACAACCCCCATCTAAGTGTTACTGACCACCAGCGATAATGTGTTGGCAGGGAATCGGAGGCTTGTGAGCTCGAAGGTCGGCAGGATGACAGCCTAGAGTTACAGTTGTGAGACAAATCAGAAGGGGTGTCGCAGCACATCACACTGGATATGCTACTTTGGGACTCTGGAAGTTCTATCATTTTATATTCCAAATATATATACATATGCAAATGTTAGGGAGGTCTTTGCAAATTGCATTTAGCAATCAGATTAATTTTGAAATTTGCATTTTAAGTGAAGTTAGTGGGGAAATCATTAGGAAGCCACCCTGCTCTGGTGGGGAGAGGAGATAATTCCTGGGAGGACAGCGGCAGAGGTTGGGGCAGGCCAAGGGTGGTGCTGTGTCTCTGGGGACACAGTGTTGGCAGGTGCCATTACAGAACAAGGATGAGACCCAGGGTGTCCTGAGAGCTGGGTCTCTACCTGTAGCCAGTTCTGACATTTAATCCTCTGTGCCATACAAACAACAGCGTACTCTCTTTTCCTCTTGGCAGGAGGGCAAGTCCCTTTGGAGGGCCTGCGTACAGTTCTGTCCTCCGGCACTCTGAGGATTGACCACGCTGCACAGCACCACCAAGGCCAATACGAATGTCAAGCAGTTAGTCCTTTGGGAGTGAAAAAAGTGTCTGTCCATCTGACTGTGAAACCCAAAGGTAACAAGTGCTGTGATTCATTTTCACATCCTGAAATGAGGGCTTCTTTTGTGTCCTTTTGTGTCATTAATAGAACCAACCAACAGAGACCCCATTACTTAGATTTTTAAAAGTTTTGTGTAGGATCTACTTCAGAAATTGCTAATTCAATACTTTTCCAAACACTCTTTTATATACCTACTCTTTTTTATTTAAAATTATTTTTCTATTAATACTAATTACATTCTTTAAAAATGTCATTTCATATGTACTTAAAACAAGTGGGGGGTTTTTGGGGTGTCAGAGATTGAACTGAAGGCCTCCTGTACACTCTATGACTGAGCTACATCCCAGCCCTCTCATGTGTTTTACAAGTAATTGATTAGCCTTCCCTGCATAGACTGTCACACATAAATATGTACTTTCTCATACCTTATGAGCCTTTCACATTGATGTATTTTTATGCCTAGCAATTTGGAGCATGCAGTACAAGTACTCTCCTTCAGACTCTGCCTGTGGGACCTGTACTTGAGCTGATTTAGCCATTAGAGATTCTGAACTCAGATTGGGTTATTTGTCCAAAATTTATTGTCAGCTGAGATGTAAAATAAGAGGAAAATCAAGGTGTAAATGTTTGAAGAACAGATTGTGTAGTCATCAGGTTTCCCACTGTTGAGACACAATGGCCCAAACCCACAGTTTAAGAGAAGAAAGGTTTACATTTGCTGATGCTTTCAGTCCCTGATCTGCTGGCTCCCAGGAAGAGATATCACCGTGCAAGGTGGTGGTGGAGCAAATCTTATTATAGGGCAGCAGGAAAGAAAACCAGGGAAGCAGAGCAATGAGGAGAACCAGGAAAGAAAAGGAGATGAGCCAAGCATAGAACCCAGGGCTGTAGCTCCATTTCCCACACAGACATACACAGAAATATGCTTCACCCATCCACACCTTGAATGGATCCCAAAGCCAGTTCAGTTGACATTTCTCCATAATGGTCACAGGTCATTATTAAATACTACTGAAATTTGTTACTTCCTGGCTTACAAAGTATGTGCTAAAAACACAGTGAATGCTTATTTTTTGAAAAATATTGAGGTATTATCTCCCTAGTATAAGAACCTGAAAGAGTAAATGAAACCTAAAAGGTACAATAGATAGTGACAAGGGGTAAAAAACTGCTCAAAAGGAAAGAATGACTGGGATGAAGGGAGAAAATAAAGAAGAAAGGGAAAAATATATATATACACACACAAGATGGCTGGGATAATTGTTATTTCTATTGCTTTCTTGAAAGGAACAGTTGATATGTATATGTTTGATCATTCTTACATGCGTGTATTTGTTTATCAGAGAAACCAATATGAAGATAACAGTATGTAGTACAGCAACCATTGTTAATTTCTTTTCACCTCGTCTGAAATTCTGTATTATTTTTATGTTGTTTCATTTATATCTGTGTGTTTGTTGTTATGTTTTGGTTCTTTTATCTCTTCTCTAAAAATAAAATTTAAAAAATTGATTACAATAAAAGACATCATCTTAGTCACGTTCTCACTGCTGGGCATAATACCGACAACTACAGCTGAAGGGAGAACCAGTTTACTTTGCAGCATGATTTTCTTCCAGGGCTCCAAGACTAAAACACAATGGCAGAAAGCATGGCAGGATGCTCATGGCAGCCAGGAAGTAGAGCCTGAGACAAGAATAGACTCTTCCAGGTCACACCCTCAATGATCCCCTCCAGCCAGTCCCCACGCCTTACATTTAGCTGTGGACCCATCAATGGATTAATACAGTGATAAGTGTTGGGCCCTCACGGTCCAATCATCTCTCAGGACATGGAATTCTGTGGGGACATTCTAGAGCTCAATCATAACAGACACATTCTCACTATTCCTCCTCAGAATACTTCACTCATGTGGCTCATTGCTCTTCAAACCCATTCAGTTTATCTCATTGCTCTTGCCACTTTCTGAAGCAGTTCTGAGAGTGCTCCTTCTTAGGTGTCTTTACAGCTGCACTGTCATGGCTGCCTCGATGTCCTGAACTGATTCAAAAAATTCACTTCTCAGGGTCACTTTGACTTTGGGGAAAAGCCAGAAGTTGTACAGTGTCAGACCGGATAATAGGGTGCATGAAGGCATACCACAGTGTTTTGAGTCTGCTGTTTTGTTGGATGGTACTTGGCAGGGCATTCATGCAGTTTTGATTAGACTTCATAAAAATATTCATGAGGGTTTCTAGAGCTGCTGGAGACAGTGGAAAGAATGATGGGAGAAGTGTGTTCAAGGAGGGGTGGTACTTAGAGGGGGAATTAATGGCAATGTGTCCTTTACTGTAATAAACTCTTAAAATTTAATCATTCACCATATATTTTAATACCTCTGGTATGTTGAAATCCTGGAACTTAGTTATAATATATATTACCTAGATGGTACTTTTTCACTCTTTATATAATTTCCTGCTTTTACATAAATTTTGTGTAGTTCATTTTGAGGTACTAGATTTAAATTCAGGTATAATACACATTTAAATAAAACATACGACATGTAGAAACAAAAGTTCAGCATCATTCAGCAAAGTCAATGAGAGAAGAAATATTAGGGATACTGAAGTCTTCACAATGTCTAAACAGCTGCTAAGGACTACAGTGAGCTACTCCCATCTATGTAATACCTATTATTAATTATTTTCCATTATTTCATTAATGGAAATTGAGATCCACTGAAGGGAGAAGGTATCACGGCGGGGGCGGGTTTGCAAATGGAAACTCAAATGAGTAGGTGGATTTGAAAATACAATTATGGAAGAATGAGTCAATATGAAATGTTCTTTGAAAGCCCATTTCTGTCTAAGAGAAAATATCCCAAACTGGTATGCAGATGGTTTCAAAGTACTTTTGAATCAGTTTGTAACTGAAATCCCCAAACCAGGACGGTTTATGTTTTTAAAATGAAGATAGAAAAGAACCCACCACATAAAATGTAAGGTGTGGGTGCTGAAGTGACAGATCTTCACTGTGCTCCATCACACATTCTTTCATTCACTACCTTTATCAGCTGTTGCAAGCTCAACATAGAAGCTTCTGTCCCTTCCAAAGGGGATTTCCTCTGCTGTCAACATACCATGAACTGCTGTGGTAGAAATTAGTATTAGATTACACAGGTTAATCTAAGAATTAACAGTTGTAGAGGGACTTGGTCCATCCATAAAATGCCATAGTTGAGCATATTCAATCAGTAATAGTCTTGAATATAGAAATAGAAATGAAACAAATTTTGTAGAGAGCAGAGAGCCCTAAGGGGGCAGTAGGAAGGGTGTGGGCAGTGGTGACCACACAGTAGGAAATAGTTGGAACAGTTGGGTGAATTCTAGCATAACAATTCTTGACTTCAGGCTATGGAGCTATTGAAAGCTGTGATCACATCTATTATTTAAAATATTAATTAACCCAAAATAAATAGGCTAGGTTGGAATGGAGAAGTTCTAAAAGTCAAAAATCACTGGAACAATGACTATAGTCAACTGACACTAAAGCTAAGCTAGGATCACAGCAGTGGGAATGCAAAAGTGAATTAATTCCAGAAAGAACATATGACAGGTGAGACCATTTTATTTCTGAGATTGCGAGTAATATGTATTCCTTCTCTTTTCTGGTCCCTGAAGCAATTTAAGTATGTCAGAGAGTGATAGATTGATGAGAAGACAAGAAAAACATGGGACTAGAAAAAAAATATATCAGGACATGTCATTTTAAAATGTTGCTCAGGGAAGACTCTAAGAATATGATATTTTAGCTGAAACCTTAGCAAAGTCAAATCTAACAGCTCTGTGGAAGGTGATTAGGGCTTACTCAAGGGACGATGTGGTGAGACACACCATGAGTTAAGGCAGACAAGGGTGCCATCATAAGAAGGGACAGGATTTAAAATGTTACAAAATTTTTCCAAGTTTGTGGGTTTTCTTTTTACTCTGCTGGTGATTTCTTTAGATGTGTTGAAACTTCAGTAGGATGAGATCCCAGTTGTTGATTCTTTGAAGTTTTCATGTGAAGTTTGGTTTTTGTTCATGAACTCTCTGCCTACTCCTATGTCTTCAAGGTTTTTACCTACTTTCTCTTCCAATAGACTGTTTCTGTTTTAATGTTGAGATCTGTGATCCATTTTGACTTTAGTTTGGTGCACGGTGATAGACCTGGGTCTATTTTCTGTCTCTGGCAGGTAGCAAGCCAATTTTTCCAGCACCATTTATTAAAGAAGCTATCGTTCTTCCAGTGAGTTTGTTTGGCCCCTCTATCAAAGATTAGGTGGCTGAGTGTTTTTGGTTGTGGCTGTTTCTTCCAGTCTGTTCCATTGATCCTCAGGTCTGTTTTTTAGCCAGTACCAGGTTGATTTTATGACAGTA